TGACCTTCGGACGGGAGACCCCCCGGTTCCGCTGAGCCTTGAGATGGATGTCGAGATGTGGCTCCCCCTACCTTTCAGGCCAGCCCATCCTAACCCCAGTTGACGATCAGCTGCAAGTAGCTTCGTGACCTCAGACTATGGACTGACCCCGTTGCGGACATGGTCCGGCTACAACGGCCACTTATGACCCACCTTAACTGCACCCGCGGCCCATTTTCTCAGGTACTTTACCTTGCCCACGACTGCTGACCCACGGAGCTCTGACCCGCCCAGCTAAGACTCGTTCCCCCACTAGTTGGTCCCTGCAGTGCCTGCTGTGCCACAGGGACTGTGAACCACCGTTCACCAGTTAGTTCACTAAGATTTAAGTGTTTTTTTCTTGCTAATCCTTCCTTACCTGTCCTCTCCTATCGGTGTACCCCCAACCCCCCAGTCTATGTCTGTGTTCCCCCCACTGTGTTTCAGTTCTGAGCTGACCCTCCACCTCCCTGCCCCCCTCCCTTGATCTTTCAGTATGTCTCCCCTCAGGATCCTTTTGCTCAACGTCAGAGGTCTCAACGTGCCGGAGAGACGGAGGATGGTGCTCACGGACCTACATAGACAAAAAATACAGGTGGGCTTCCTCCAGGAGACTCATTTTGCCAAGGGGTGGGCTCCCTCATTCTGAGATCACCACTTTCCGGTAACGTATCACAGCCTTTCCCCTGACAAAAGTTGAGGGGAGTCAGCATATTGATTAATCGCTCAGTGGAGTGGCAACTAATCAACATCTCCTCAGGGGAGGAGGGCTGTCTCTTGATGGTGAAGGGCAAGGTGGGCGACCACAAGGTGACTTTTGTGAACATCTACGCCCCCAATCAAGGCCAGATTACTTTTTTGGAACGGTACTGCTGCAAATGGATGACTTCCGTGAGGGTATGCTCGCAATCGGGGGAGACTTTAATCTACACTTAGACCCTGTAACAGATTCAACGAACCAGGCCTCCCACCTGCCCTATGCGGCGCTGAGACGCCTTAAAAAATGCCTCCATGCCCACCAGCTGTCAGACATATGGCGCATACACCACCCCGACACTAGGGACTACTCCTACCACTCAATCGTACACAATACCTACACTCGTATTGACTTTTTCCTGACACACCACAGCAACCTATCTGTGGTCTCCAATACGGAGATAGGGAACATTATTTACTTCGACCACGCCCCGATTCTGCTTTTGCTGGAGATGGGCCCCCAGGAGCCTTGATGTTGGAGATGGCGACTCCATGAGACGCTCATACAAGACCCCGGACTATCCCCTGAGATTAAATGCGACCTATGCTCATATTTTGCATTAAATTCTACACCAGACTGCTCGCTCGCCCTACACCATCTGGGAGGCACACAAGGCATACATACCGGCACCCTGATTAAATTGGGTGCCCGTCGCAAGAAACAATGGTTAGATCAGCAGCACTCCATTCTCACACAAATCCACGCTCTTGAACGAGTGCATAAAAAGCGCCAGGATCCCAACCCTTCTGGCCCAGCTCTGCTCCCTACACGACTCCCTAAGCTCTCTATACATAGACAGAGCGAAAGCTACTCTGGTCAAGTGTCGCCGCCACTTCTACTAGTATGGGAACCAGTGTAGCCGCTCCCTGGCGGAAGCTCTTAGACAACAACGCTCCCGTACATACGTCCCAGCCATTAAGTCTTCCTCTGGCAGGCTATGTCACCTCTCGGAAGACATCATCACGTTTTTCAGGATTATTACTCTAGCCTCTACAATCTCCTTGGCCCCTGAAATGCCCGGTCCCTAACGAAGCAACAACGTCACATTCGGGCCTACCTGGAGGCATCCGCCATGCCCAGCCTGTCTCCCGAGATACGCGAATCCCTTGAATCCCCAATCTCATCTCTGGAGCTGGAGGCAGCCATTAAACATACCAACACAGGTAAGGCCCCAAGCCCTGACGGCTTCTCTTTCTTGTACTATAAAACCTTCCCGGAAATACTGTCTATGCCCATGCTGGCGACCGGGAACTCGGTACGAGAGGGTGAACCCATGCCCAGAGATGGGCCAACATAATGTTGATCCCCAAGCCCGACAAAGCCCTCACGGTCTGCCCAAGCTACCGCCCGATATCTCTACTGAACGTGGACACCAAATTACTGGCCAAGGTCCTGTCCATGCGACTGCTGCTCCATGTTCCCTCCTTGATCCACTTCGACCAGGCGGGGTTCATTCCCTCCAGAGAGGCCCGCGATAACACCACCCGGGCCCTCAACGTTATACACTCGGCCCTGTCAAAGTCAATCCCGAGTCTAATTGTGTCTACGGATGCGGAGAAGCCTTTCGACAGGGTCGACTGGTCCTTCTTTCGACTTACACTGAAACACATGGGGATGCGACCGGGCATTCTAGCTTGGATTCTGGCCTTATACTCCCACCCAATGGCCAAGGTCTGCGTCAGCGGCACATTATCAGCCTCATTCCCGATCTCCAACGGTACTAGGCAGGGCTGCCCACTCTCACCGCTCATTTTCATCCTGACCTGGGAACCCTTGCTCCGGACCATCAGAGCCCACCCCGACATCCAGGGCGTGACGGTGGGGGGGGGGGGGGGTGG